TTTTTCAGCAATAATGGAGCCTTCACAGATGTGAAGGCCGGGTGGTTCCTATCCTCTTCAGAGAGGAAGAAGCAGCCATGACTTCCAAAAAAAAAAACTTTTCTACTTCCTCTCAGTCCATCTTAAATGGACTCAGGTCCAGAGAAGTCTGATTTCCTCTTTGCATGGTTCACTTTGAACCTCATTTATGGATGCAGTGATGAACTGTGTTCACAGACAATACTTTTTGGATGTGATTTTGAGCCCATGCGGTGATTTCCACTCCAGAGTCCTGTCTGTTTTTATTGCAGTCCTGCCTGAGGGCCTGAAGATCAGGACCATCCAGTCTTGGTTTTGGTCCTTGTCCCTTTAATCCAGAGATTTCTCCAGATTCTCTGAATCTTTGAATGATATGATGTTCTGTAGATGATGAAATCCACTCATTCTTTCACATTTGACACTCAGGAACATTATTCTGAAACTGTTGAACTATTAGCTCACACAGTCTCTCACAGAGTGGTGAACCTCTTCTCATCTTTCCTTCTGAGAGAATCTGAATGCTCTTTTGAGACCCAGTCGTCTTATTAATCTGTTGGAAATTCACCTCATTAGTTAGAGATGTTCCTCCAGTTTTTTTTTTTTTTTTTCATTACACAACTTTTTACCTGTTTGGATATTCCTTTCAGTAAAATATAGTGTTACTATGATAAGTGATCTTTTTTTTTTATTTAAATTTAACAAAGCATCCTGATTTTTTTTTTTTTTTCAGAGGAGGATTGAAACTGTAACTTTGACTCACAATGTCAAGGTTTCCAAGCAGGCAGTGACAATACCCTGTATGTTCTCCAACCTGCAACACATCAGTATGCTCTTGTGCAAACATCCTCAGGAGTGGAGATATCCAAAGGGCCCAATTAGGCCATACATGGCGGAGGGAGGGAGAGGGAGGGAGGGAGAGAAAGAGAGAGAGAGAAAGAGAGAGAGACTGCACTCTTTGTCAACTGCCAGCTTTCATGTTTGACTGGCCGCCCATCAGCTCCTGCATGACACCCATAACAACTCATATGACACACCGTAGACACACACACACTCACACACTTGGGTATGTGCACACACTCACACTGAGAATAAACATGGCCATGCTAATTAGCCTAATGCTGGTAATGAAGAAGCCTGCCATGCTAACATCTTAGGAGTGACACTTTACGCTGGCAGTGTAAACACACGAATGACACCCCCTGACCCCAACTCCCACGCACACACTCATTCACACATACATGACACCTTACACACATTTCTGGATGCAATTTAGACTGGAACACACACTTCACAAACATAAAAATACCTCCCACAAAGACAGCAGCAGCTTTCCACTTATTTATGTGGTGTTTAGCACATCTGGTTTTAGTGCGATCTATTCACACCCTAAAATGCTAAAAGATTCACAGCATAAACACGCATCACATGCTGAATGCTTAAGTTTGCATTGTTTTGGTTTCAAGCTAACAGGCTGTCAAATATACATTTTTGTAACTTCAGATTTGACTTTATTGCTCCCCTGATTTTGTATCTATTGATTGTAACAGAGCTGTAATATGTATGCAGTTTATCAGATTATAAGAGTGTATACGACTCATGAACCAGAACTTGGCAATCAGTCAAGATAACAGTCTATAAGTTTCCTACCCTGAGCTGCCATGGTAATATGGTCTATTGTATTTCTAGATAGGACTTTGATTTTTAAAGACACCAACATGATATGAAAATGGACTTTAACATGCAGATTCAGGCCCGAAATTATTGTTCTTAGACCAGGAATAAAATGTAGAGCAACACATTCAAGGTGCTCTCTTCACACCCCAATCCAAATCTTGTCTCCACATAAGACCTGGGTGAGACCTTAGAAACTTCCCTCTGGGTCTTCCTGATTTCACTGACACTCTAAAATAACATTGCTCTGCTGTTGCCTTTGCAGATTAACACTACCATGACTTGTCTTTCACACACTGGCCATCCTAGTGGATTTCACGCCGGCATCCAGAGGTTTCATCAGATCAGAACATGAACTCATTCAAGAACGTAGAAAGGTAGTTCATCAAGGCAAAGGCACCTGTTCTAGTTTTTCCTCTCTACACACACACATGCACACACAAACACACACACACACCCCTTCACACACCCTCTCTTTAAATCTCAGAGGAGCTGCCTGTGTACTCTATATTTATTATCCAGGGTGGCACTGTTGATAGATGAGATACCTACACAATTACAAGGGCACAACATTGCCTTTCCAAGCTGATAGGGTGAAAAACTGGCTCCTTTCTTTCTCCTCTATTTTTCTATCCCTCCATCCAGAAGGGTGATATACAACAATGTTGGGGGATACATCTCGCCGACACGCAGAAATGCCCCACACCCCTGAAAGCCCATCACCATACAAAGGACACACATGAACTGCTCCAATGAAAGAAGTGGTGACTTTCTCTATCATGGTATCCATCTAACAGTGATTTCTTGATGCTGCATGCATGGTAACAGTTTAATATATGGACAAACACACACACACACACGCACACATACACACACACACACACACACACACACACACACACAAGTGTGTGGACAGAGTGCAGCTGCAGCCACAGGGCCCACAGAGGCATTAATCTCCATCCAGCTGAGATTTGTGAAGCTGGGAGATTGAGAGGAGGCCGATGATGCCGGCTGTGTCAGGGCGGACATCTTGGAAGCATGATGTTGAGCTATGTTCCTGCAGCGAGCCGAGGGGAGGCATCGACATATAAAATGGTTGTAAATTTGCATTAGGCTCAATCCATCATCAAAGAACAGGTTGGGGGGGAATGGGAAGAGAGTGAGTTAGGAAAAGCAGGGGGAAAGGGATGAAGAGGGGGAGTGCATGACACTGGTGGGGCAGCTGTTGAGACAGTGGAGCGACATGGAGCAGGCTGCTCGGCTGCACGCCGTGCTCAGGCAGGCCCTCTCCTCCTCTCTGACAGATTCCTATTTAAGTGACTGTGAATGCAACAATTCCACAAATAATTTGTCAAGCCTTGCAGAGCTGAACTGGCTCTGAACCCTGCTCCCTGCCTCTCTCTCTCTCTCCCCTTCTGTTCTCTTTTGCCAGCTGCACACACCCCATCAAAGCAAACATCAGTGTGAACTGTTGCATGTAAAAGTCAGGTTCTTTTACTATGAGTATATGAACCTGATATAATTAATTTTTAATCAATTGGACCAAACCACAGACTTTAAATAAACAGTAAATAAAGACAGTGGTAAAAGCAAAGTGCATTTTTCTTCAACCCTTAAAAACAGAAAGCAGAGGACAACTCTGTTGTCTGCAAAATCAGTACCTTGAGTTTTAATTGAGGTCTATGAGGAAGTGATCCCACTACCCTCTTGATTTGAAAACACAGTTAAGACTTTCCAAATGACTCCAGTTTCAAGGTAAAAAACACAAGTTCTTTATTTTCCATTTTATCAAGAAGCAACCTTTGTTGATTAAAAATTAAAAATAAAGACAGTGCAAGTAAAACACTGCAGGTCCTCAGGTCACCACTTGAGACAAACTACAAAAGCAAAGAAAAAACCACCAGTGCCCATACTGAGATGCACATTTATATAAAAGGATAAACATCTTTTCAGCTGCTGGGTGCTTGTTTGGCCAACTGGTTGAGTCGTTCACTCTATGTGTAGAGGTTATTGTCCTTAAGAAAGGTGGCCTTTGGCTTTTTCCTGAATGTCAGTATACTGCCATTTTTTTCTCTATCAGCAACCCCATAAATAGCAGCATATAGGCCAAAAATGCTGCATATGTGGTTAATTTTTCAAAAACATAATCCTAGCACACATGTAAGACCATTTTTAAAGCGAAATTTTTATCCCTTTTTAAGTGCAAATGAAGTTTTGGACACTTTGGTTTTCAGAAGGGCCCTCCTGGTGAAAACATGTGTTTTGGGGTACACCACCATCTCTACCTTCATTGGCACATGGCTGTTATTTTGTCATTATATTTTATTTGTTGTAACTTGTACTTTAACTTATCTTTGACATCCTTTACTTTGCAACTGTCTGTTGAGTCATCCATTTGAATGTATGAACCTCCTTTCTTATGAGTTCCTCATTCCTGATTTTCTACACTTGCAGCTCTGAATGCATGCACACAGTGTTTTTCTTTGATGTCTGAAATGACCGTCTGACCACTTATTACCGCCACCTACGGGTCTGGATAGCCAGTATAATTGTTTTAAACTGACTTGTGAGTATAGTCATAATTTTCACAGAAGACAAAAAAAAAAAAAAAAACACATTTTGAATAAAGGCGGGCACACTTTAAGGGCTAGGTAAATAGCCTGATTTTACTGACCGGGAGTGCACAGTGGCTGAAATCAACTTCACTCCTATGGTTCTTTAAATACACTGAATAAAAGGGGAAAATGGGGTTGTTCAATTCAAATATATGAAGTTCAAATGCATTACACTATTAAATTATATTCCTCTTCTAAACAAATGTCAGTCATGTTAAGTTCTTGTAATCTCAAGGGATGTGAAGTCAACAAATCTCAATCATATTAAGAAAAAAGGACTACATTATGTTTGGTCTGGAAGCTCCGCCCGAGAGCGTTTCTCTGGGCGGGAGGATTTAGGCAGAAAATGTGGGGACAGCCATTTCCTTTCGCTGTTGGAGCCTTGTTGCAAGGTAAGAGATATTTGAAATTGAAATTTGATAAAACATCAGACCGAGAGCTAGCTAAGTTTAATTTATGTTTATGCTAGCTAGCTTTGCCATACAGCGGCCTGCCAATACGATCAGGAATATAATGAATTAATAACCTTTATTAATATGATACGAATCTTGACTACGAAAATGAATCTTTTTGAATATGATGAGGGATGCAACAATTCATTGATGTAGGGTTGTCATACAGTTTGTGATGTTCGCTTTCGCCATTGTGTCTGTTCAAACATACATTTCAGTAAGAAGTGCTGCAGGGTGAGTCATTTCATCCTCGTACTATCTCGATTGTCACAGACATCGTCTCTTCAAACGCTTGACCGAAGTCCCTCTGTCTCTTGAGCGTCCTCTGAAGATCCTGGAACTGCTCCTTCAGGTCATCCCTCTCTGCATGGAGACTGTTTGTGAAAGCCTTGAGGTGGTAGTATTTTTCAGGCCATGGTTTGACAATGTCATACTGCTCTTGTAGGTCCATGACTCTGCAGTGAAGGTCATAATTCAGTTTGGCCTTTCCTTTTTTCTCTGCCTTGAGCACTGAGTATTCATGCCTGATCTTTGCTTCATCTTTAAGTTTGGCAGTCAACTCCTCTAATGCTTTGGTTGAGGCTTCTGTTTAAACCCTGGATGATTTTTTTTCCCTTCCAGCTGCTCTTGATCTGAGACATTAAGGATCTTCCAGCTGGAGATCCTTAATGTTCTTCTCCAGGGCCACATTTTGCTGGTTCAAGGTCATGTTCTTCTTGTTTAACAGCTTGTACTCATCCTCCAACACCTTGCTGTTCTTGATCTTCTTCTGAAGCTCCTCAACTTCCTGCTTCAGGCTGGTATTTCTCTGCTCAGGTCTTTTATTTTCCCCCTAAGCAGCCTTACGTTTCTCCTCTAGAGCTATTTGCACCTGCAATTGAAAACGCAGTCTCTCCACCTGGCTTTCGAGGAGCTTGTTTAAATCAAGGGCTGCTATTCTGTTAGCTTTGAGGAGTTTGTACTCCTCATCTACGTCTTGGAATCTCGTGAGCTTGGTGTTAAGCCCTGTTGTTGTCTAAGAGCTTCTGTTTCTTTCCATATCTTGGCATTCCTGTCGAGGGGGACGTAGAATACGTCTCTGCGGAACATCCTCTTGTTGGGTCTGAACATTTTTGTGCTGAGTTTTAGTCTACTACGATACACTCATAGACTGTATATAGAATGGATGCCGTCTGCCTCCTCGCTGGGTGAAGCCACTCCGAGAACAGCACCCTCTGTTGATGGGCTGCAGTATAGGTCATAAATCCCGCCTCCTCCAGCAATCCCGAAGGAACTGTGGACAAACTTTAGGAATTTATTACACAGAACAAATCCCCCCCCCCTGCTTGCAATGTTGACATGTAGTTATTGTAAGACTGGTTTATGCTCAAGTCCTCCTTTTTCTGTACAGCTCCATTTTTATTAGTTATTAGGGGGTTTATGTTTTCTTTGATTGACACCTGATACAGCCTATGGGTGTTCAGGGATTGCGTAGCTCTCCCGGGGGATACGCTGTTTGAGCCGAGCATCATCACAGCGACTCTCTGCGACTGCGCAGCCGAATGCGCACAATGCTACTGCACAGCGCTGGTTTCAGGAAATGAAGAAAAATCCTTTTTGGCTTCAAATCTGTATACAGGCGGTAGGCGGAACCAAGTTGTCCATAGTATATACAGTCTATGGATACAGTGCAGTATAAAATACAGACTGTTGAAAAGGTCTCTCCTACTCTCTCTGACTCTGTGCTGGTCAGTCCATATTCTAAAAACATTGAAAAAAGGATTCAGCATTATGATGTCATAAGGGAATATAATATCAACATGGGGATTTTTCTGTTTCAATCTTCAGTAACTCAAATATATATATATATATATATATATATAAAATATGTGTATATATATATGTGTGTGTGTGTGTGTGTGTTGGTTTAATCCATTAATTCCTTACATAGTCTTTCAATCAATCAATCAGTCAGTCAATATGTATTTGTATAGCACAAATTTACAACAAGTGTTATCTGCAGATGCCTAACAAAAAAGATGGTCTTGACCAGACTCTATTTACAAAGACCCAGTGTAAAGATGGGATCAGACTGAGCCCAGTCTTGTAAAATCAGACCCATTCCTATCCCATCTTCAACCACATGAGTGAAACACTTTACAGCACTTAGAGTTACAGTGGAGAGGAAGAACTTGAACCAAACTGATGTGAGACAGTCATCTGCTGAGACTGAGCTGGATTTAGAGAGGAAGACGGAGAAAGAGAGAGATGGACAGAGGAGACACTGACAGATGGAAGATGGATGACCATCTTGTTTAACTATGGGCTTCAAAACTACTCCTTAAACACACACACACAAATAAATAAATACATAAATAAATATGAATGAAAACATGATGGAAACTAAATCTATATCATTGCTGCAACTCCTCCGAGAAAAACCTGAATGTTAAGAGGTTTCTGACTTGGGTTTGATTGGGCCCAACAGAAGCCCAAATGTTACAAATTTTCCTCAAAGAGAAGCTTTGATTCCTTCTGATAATTTAAACCGATGAAAACCTGTTAATAAAACAATCATGACTTTTTTTTAAAAAATGATGCAACTGCAGAGCATTTTGAAAACCTGTTAAATCTGATGTAACCCTTTAGGCAGATCATGCGAGTCTGTGCAACATACGTTTCTGTGTGTGTGTGTTCCTTCAGGGAGACACGCAGCCCTGTTTCCTGTGTTCAGGAACAAGCTCAACATACAAGCAGAGGTGAATGAGGGTAATAATATTGTTTTATTTGTACATCTTACATCAGTGGTGCTCTTCCATCAAAGCAGAGATCTATCGGGAGGCAGGAGGCTGGTGAAGCATGTCCCTTATCTGTCCCCGTCAGCCAGGACATTACTCACCCTGAAAGTTTAGTACGGGACAGGCTGGAGAGGTGTAGGAGGCGGGGGGTCCAAGGCTGTCAGGCCAAATTGGTGATCAATCACCACATCAAGCCGCCCCTTCCCCCTTAAACACACACACAAAAACCCACAGCATGCTTATCAAGAGCATGACAATGGAGCAGAAAAACAGATGAGAGATAAGACCTAGTGATATATATGCATGTGTGAAAGTAAATGTAAAATTCTGATGGGTGGAGCACTTGGTCTATGGTAAGGCTAATTTAAGTGATATTTTAAAATATAATTTCAAAACAATGCTATTGAATATTTTTCTGTAGTTGTTGGGAAAGGTGAGAGGGGATGGAGAGCACCAAGGGGAAACAGAAAAAAAGCCAAAAGCAATGACTTCAGAGGGCATCGCAAAAAAGAGGGGGGAAAAAAAGTGTTCATTCATCATTATTGTCATGGGCTTTGGCAAATGATAATAATTTGTCTTCATCCCTATTTTTAGACAATGAGCCACAATAGCCATTTTGGCCAGATGGGAAAGAGCCCGTGTGAGCCGAGCACCACGTTTGGTTTGATGTCCTTCATGAGAAACCTCTTAATTAGGACTCTCCACCACCGGTGTCTCTTTTCTAGACAATTATTTCAAACACAGTGCAGCTCAATGACACATTTAGATATATGGAGCTACAGAGAGACTGTGTGGACTCTCCTTTGTTTCACCGCATATTTATGAGACTTTTTACGACTAATGTGTGTGCTTTTTCATCATCTAAGTTCACGCTTACTTCTTTACAATGATCTGAAACCAAATTTGACTGAATGATAGATGTTGAGGGCTTAGCTGTAAGAAGATAAATGAGAAAAGCAATCAGTGTGTAAATAAAGGCACAGGAACAATCTTACAGATACTTCTGAATCAGTAAAACACTGAAACATGAATACCTGTAGTAATTGAGTCCCCAGAGTGAAGGAAACTCCCAACAGCATATAGTGAACCGCCAAACAAACATATATGATGGACAGAAGAGAAATGTTGGCATGGGACATGGACACATTATTAAGAGGCAGAAAGTGTGTTTTGTTTTGTTATGTGTGTGTGTGTGTGTGTGTGTGTTTTAGGTGCACCGTGGTGTGTTTGTCCCTGCTGGGCCTGTGGGGAGGTCACAGTGTGAACCAGGAGGATGAAGATAAATAGGAGGACAGCAGGACATATGGAGGAGGTATAATTGACACCTAACGTGCACGGTGACCCGGTGACTCTCAGGTTACCACCCCGCCGCAGAGAAAACACACTGCATTATCAGGGCAGACTCTGCTTCATGAACACAATTAAATCACCAATTTCTCAATTTGCTGCTTCTAAAGCGGGATACTCATCACCAGGTTCCTGCGTCCCCTGCCGCTCACAGCATTTTCACAGTTTTACACGGTTTTACTCTAAAGGTAACGGTGAACACCTCAAAGTTATTATTTATGTAAAGGATATGGTGAACAGATAGTTATGTAAAAAGAGTCCAGACAGGGTGAGACCAGACCCTGATCCTGATGATTACCCAGTTTAAAAGACTTCAGTAGAGAAGAAAAATCTGATTTACCTCAAAGCTGCTGTTTGCAGCTCTGCCCATTTCTACTCTATAATTTTGCATAACCTTGCAGCATGAACAAACATTAAGCTAAACATTTAATGAAATACAATACAATAACTTTATTTAACCCCAAAGGGATTAAAATTCATTTATCTGGAATTTTAAATAAACTGCAGATAAACCAAGTAATGATCTGACTTGCCCAGTGGTGGTAAGGCAGTGGCTCTGTAGGCTTCTTTGACGTTGGCATACAGCAGATCCAGGGTCTTGTTTTTTCTGGTAGGACAGTTCACTAACTTTGTGAATCCAGTCAGGTGAGAGGAGAGGGTAGAAGTCTGGCAGACGTCTCCTGATACTATTATTAGTGCCTCTAGATGTTGAGTCTGTATCCTAGCTACAGTATTATACAAAATGTTGCATGGACCTTCAGTCGTTGCCTTGGGTGGGATGTATTCAAGTTTTGTTAAGATAAGGTCAAGTTTATATATTATTTAGTGTGTTACTCATCAGACCCTCTTCTATTTCCGCTCTTTTGTTTTAGCGCCTTTACAGCTTCTTTAAAAGTTATATTATTATAAGCTTAAAAGTAACGCACTAAGATCCTGAATAACAAGCGCAAAATTGTGTTTGCATCTAAAAAAAAACATTTGCAGGTGCTATAAATGGGGTGTTTCGGGTGATCTACTATGGTTGCATGCACATGAGGTGCAAAAGTGGTGCGGACTGCCCTGTTGAAATGAGGATTTTGCGGGCACCTCCAGCTGTCACCACAGAGAGTTTGGGGAGCAGAGTGGCAGTAAGTGGAAAATGAAGTTTGAAGCCATGGAGTTTCACTTAGTGTTTTGGGGAAGCCTGCAACTGCATAAAAGCCGTACTCTCAGCATTTACACTGTCCCAGGTGCATGGGAACTGGAGATACTAACCCACACTAACCTAGTATTTAACACTTGGGACAGCACACTGTGATCCAGACACAGGAAAATGTAGTGTTACAAG